TCTATGAATGAACTCCTAGGAAGAAATCCAGGTTCTTGCTTGATAATGCTCTGTGTGCTCAGGACCTGGGGACGAGGTCTGGCCTGACACTGGGCTTGGCCTTTGGTGAGTTGCATGTAGATACTGGGCTCAGGTGATGAGTACTTGGGACTCAGGGAAGTTGGTGTGACTCTTCTCTGTGTGAGGGTCCAGTGGTTCAACTGGGCATAAGTAACCTCCTCTGGTTCTTTTGCTGGAAGGTCCTGAAAGGAGGAAGGTGAACAATAATGAATGGGACTTAACAACTGAAGGTGGGGTCTTTGTTTACTTGGAGGGGCGAAAGTTGTGTAGAGGATTTGGGCTGGAGAGAACTCACTCCATCATCTATCATTCGGTCTTCCTTCGGCTCTCTGTCCATAACAGAAGCATCTGTGGCTGGAAATGAATTCAAGGCTTGTGGGAGAGCTCTTCCATATTGTCACTTCATAGACGGGGACACCGAGGCCAGAAAGAGGCACTGGTGTGCCCTAGGTTACTCATTCAGTCTACCCTACTAACTTAAAAGAACCACCCCATCAACAACCCCAGACCCACACTGACTGCACCAGGGTCGCCTTTCAATCCCATTGCCCCCATCCTACTTCTATTCTTATATATCATTACCTCCTACAGGTTGGTGACTTTTCTAAAGTTAAGAAACAGATAGTGGAGAAGAAGGGGCTGTTAGTCAGAGAAAGGGCAAGAGTCCCAGAGCTCTGTTTGGAAGGCCTCCACAAAGAACCACAGCTCAGCCTACAGGAAGTGAATGCACACATTTGTGTCCCGATCGTACCTCCCTTCTCTGTTCCTATCTTTAGACTTACTATTTTTGGTAGAGCACCAGTGACAGATAAAAGCAAGGAAGAAAATGACAATGCATATGGAGACCACTGAGAGTCCAATGAGAATGTCCAGCTGTCTGAAGTGTCCATGAGGAAGATGTGAATCTGTCAACAAGCAAATGATAGCAACTTCTATTTATTTATCACATATTTTGCATAGCTTTATACTGGGTTCATTACGTATGTTTCTTAAACTCTGACAACAACCCTAAACCAGACCAATTACTTTATCCATTTTCCAACATGTGCAAACAAATCGAAGAGAAGTGAAATCAGTTATACCATCAAACAGCCCATAACTGGAATTCTGAAGCCAGTTCCACCAGGCTCTAATGTTCCTTTTTTTGTGTTGTCCCATGAGACAAGGCATTATGTTTTTGAGTTAAATGGAAATCACTTGCACCAACTATACCTGAACACCCTTTCTCATTGTACTTCCTCGCCAGACCACAATTGCACATTCTGGGAATTGAGAAGGAGGTGGACAGAGGCTGGGGATGCCTCTAGTCCAGGTGACCAAAATTCTGAACTCACTCTAAAGAATCTTGACACCCCCCTCCCAGGGATGACTGAAGTGGGGTGGGTAATGGCTTTCGGTGATGGAAGTGAGGCAGATAGGGTTCACTGTGCTGGCAGAATAAAAGAGCTGTTAAAAGACTACCACCTAAAAGTTGGGTAAACAAGAACCACATCCTGTTAACATAAAATAAGGTTAGAACAACCTGTGAATTACTACTTCCTCCTTAGTATTTTTCTAGTCCCTTTCCCCTTCTTACAGGCTCTGCATGTGCAGAAGAACAAAGTATGACTGCTGTTTTGGCTTACCAAAGGGGATGAGGTAATACAGAAGATTAGTGTGCCTGCACCATATTCCATAATAAGCAATGCCAAGAACTGTCAAGGGGACTCCGTCTTAAATATAAGCAGGTTCCACTTGGATTCTAGATACGTGCAACCTAATTAGTATACACTACCAGTCCAAGGAGTACCTGCCCCTTCGAAGAAACCCACTGAATATTCATTACTTTATTCTCCCCACCAAACCCACATAAGCCCTAGCCTTGCTTCTCCTTGTGAGTCAGCCCCACACTGATTTCCTTTTACTAGTCACAAGTGAAATAAACCTGTTAGAGCTGAACCCAACAGCCTTTGCAACAGGTTCCATCTTGGGCTGCCTCCTGCATGGGCACCTAATCTTTATAACAGTCTTAGGCTGGGTTCTCTAGAGAAGCAAAACCAGTGAAGTGTACAAATATATATATATAGAGAGAGATTATATCAAGGAAACAGCTCACGTGATTGTAGAGGCTAGAACGTCCCAAGTCCGTGGATCAGGGTAGAGGCCTCTCCCAAGTCACACAGCTGCAGAAGCTGGCAAGCCCAAGATCGGCAAGTCAGAGAGCAGGGCTCCCGCTTACAGGCCGTGCAGATCAACGAATCCCAGGTTCGGCAGATAAGCTGACAGCTCAAGTCCCAAGAAGTGGAGAAAAGATGACAGGGAGCAGCCGCAGGATCCAGAGAGAGCAAAAAGCCAGAATGTCTGCTTATATACAGATGCGGGCCACACCTCCAAGGAGACTCTCTTTCATCTGATTGGCTACTCACAGTATATTCAATCATGAGAGCGATTACATTAAAACACTGAGAATCCTGACTCAGCCAAGTTGACACACAATCCTAACCATCACAATAACCGTGCCTCTTTCATGAATACAGATGATGCCTTTTCCCACCTAAAAACCTTTATAAGCCCTAGCCACTCCTTTGTTCCGGGACAAAGGCTAGCGTTGCTTAGTCCCTCTTTGTCTCTGCTCGCAAGCTACTTTTGCTCAATAAAGCTTTGTTCGTGCAGAAGACTTGAGCTTCTCCTGGTCATGGTCAGTAGAAGGCAAGAACCTCATAGGGGCTGCCCAGGTTGGGCAGAAGACCCCGGCAACAGAAGGGGAGTGGGCAAGGTGGTTTAGCATCTACTGAACACTCTCTACCAGGCCTATCTTTGGGGTAAGGGGGGCTTTCATATTTGTGAGTTCATCTTTTTTTAGACTAATTCTGGGAGGGAGGTGTCTTCAGCCTGATGTTCTAGTTGATAAAATTGAGGTTCAGTGAGTTTAGTGACTGAATTAGCAGAGCCATTATTTGATCCCAAGAGTCTGACTCTAGAGTTTTTATATTTCAGGGACTGTACCATGCTCCTTCACTAGGCTCCCTGCCTAGTCCTTCCCTTCTTCTGTCAGCCCAAGTATGAGTTTCCAAACAGTGAAACAGGGGCTCAGAGGGAAATGAGTATGCCCAAGGTTCCTATTTGGGAAACACCGAAACTAGGTTCTGATTTCCCTTCTAATGAGTCTACCTTGAATATGTTCTGAATCCACCAACTCAAATGCTTCTCCACCACCACTTCATGTCAAAGTCCCATGACTTTTCTCAAAAATAGCTGCCATAGTCTCCCACCAGGCTCATGGCTTCCACTCATGCTCCCTGCACCCTAAAATAAATTCTGTTCACATCTGCCAAAGTGTTATCTCTAAAATATCATGCAGACCATGACACTTTCATGATTAAAAATTTTAATGGACTCACATGACTTCACATCTGTCAGAATAAAATCCAAACTCTTTTTCGTTGCTTCTAAACTCTGGTATAATTTGGCTCTGGTCTACCTCTCTCAACAACTCCTCATATACCAAACGTCAAGCACACTACGTTTGAACACACCAGCTCATTGCCTCATTCGGTTCACTGTACCATCTGTTCCATCTGTGGTAAATTCTCTTCCACCAGACTTCTCAAGACTTACTCTCTTGATCATGAAGATCACAATGTTACCTCCTCAGTGGAGTCTTCTCGACCATCCACTCTAAATTATCCACTTACGCTTTCTACATCAGTTGACATTATTTTATTTCTCTTTCACTTGACCTTACTGTAATTCTAGGCAGAGCATTTACATTATGTAATTCATTCACTCATTCATTCATTAATTCCCCATTTTCTTCTTTCTCCATACGCTGCTGATTTTCACGAAAATCAAGGTCTTTTCTTCTTAACTGTTCTCTATTCAATACATAGAACATTGACAGGTGGACAATAAACATCCACAGTTCTCCCTTAAATCCCTGGTGTCCCCACACACTCTCATGTTCGCAGACCCTGACTGAGACAGGGTAATCGTTATTCCTGAACAGGGAGTCAGGTTCACTCTGACCTCTCATTTGGAAGAGACTTTGGACCCAGAGCATCAGAGGCTGAAAGGTTTCACTGATTCCCATGCTGGCCACAGTTTCAAAAGCTGATAGAGAATCTGGGGATTAGAGAGGGGAGGTGACTAGCCCAAGGTCATAGAGGTGAGAGGTGGCAAAACTAACAATGGATCATGAGACTTCTGTCTCCCCAGAGATTCATGAAGTTGACTAAAAATCCTCCTTTGCTCACCAGTCTTGGTGCTTGTTTCTGTAGGTGACAGGCAAGTACATGTTGGGGTTCCTAGGAAACAAAACCAAGAAGGGGCTAGTGAGTGTCCAGCTTACTGAAGTATGGCCTTCTTTTCCTGGAATGTTGGTCCCCCACCCACCCTCACTCTGTCATCCACCTCAGGACTGTTGGAGGTCCTGGGCTCCCTCTACCAGAATATTCAGAGAGATGATTCCCTTTTTAGGGAGAACCTTTACTGAAGAGGGAGTTGTGAATACTGAAGAAGGGTCAGAAAGGTGGAATGTTGTTATCTTTGAAGACGGAGGAAAGGATCATGAGCCAAGGAATGTAGGTCCTGGAAAACGTAAGGAAACAGATTCTCCCCTAGAGACTCCGGAAAGAAATGCAGTCATGCTGACCCTTAATCTTAGCCCGGTGATATCCATGTCAGACTTTTGACTTACAGAACTGTAAGATATGAATTGTGTGTGTGTGTGTGTTTTTTCAAGTCACTAAATTTGTGATATTTTTTACAGCAGCAGTAGGAAACTAATATAGATGTCAATGTCTAGAGAGGGAATAGTAGATACCTGGGGATGAAAGATGTCCATAATCAAGTGACATTATCTTCCTCTAGGAAGAACAATATTTGTGCTTCCTACCTGGGAAATCACTCTCTGTGAGTGAAAGGTCAGGAGGGGATCCTGGGAAATGGATAACGGGGATGGGCTGATCTCATTTCCCCAACCTGAGCCCAGCATTTCCACCTCCCGGCTCTGCAACAAGGAGTCCTGGTGGACCAGTGGTTAAAGCACTAAGCTGCTAACTAAAAGATCAGTGATTTGAACCCACTGGGCACTCCTTGGGAAAAAGATGTAGCAGTCAGCTTCCGTAAACATTACAACCTTGGAAACCCTAGAAGGCAGGTCTATTCTCTCTTACAGGGTTGCTATTAGTCAGAATTGACTTGATGGCAATGGGTTGGGGTTTTTTTTGGTTTTGGGGTCTGAAATGACTCCTTTCCTCATCCACTTGGATACCTAGAACCCTAATTTGGGTCTCCACATTGGAGAAGGGCTTTAGAAATGCCCCATCATACTATACCCTGTCACCCCTCTCAGCCTCTCTTTTCCTCTCTGTATTTCTTGATATTTCATACTCTGCACAGTCCCTAAGATCACCTCTGTCACCAGCAGGATGCCCTTCAGTTAGAGCTTTATGATTTAGTGTGAATCACAAGACATGGGGCAGGTATAGGGCTCCTTACCTGTGACCAAAAAGTGCAAAGGATCACTTGGGTGTGACCACTTATTGGGAGAGCGATGGAAGGAACCATAACATCTATAGGTCCCACCATGGGCTGGGGTCACAAGACCCAGAGGGAAGTCACCCTGGAATGCACCATTGTGACTCTGCAGTCCAGGGAGCCAGGGTTCATGGGCCTTCCCCTCTCTGGATAGATGGAACACGTCAAATGAGCTCTCTGAGTGGCAGCACAAGGTCACGTTCTCTCCTGACATCACCACATGGTCTGGCTGCACCAAGAGAGTAGGTTTCTTATATATACTTGGAAGGAAGAGACCTTAGTTTTAGAGCACAAGCCTTGCTCACACTATCCTTAGAACATGAACAATGGATTATCTGTTCCCATTTTTGGGAGTGAAATCCACATGTCTTCATGTCCTCTCTACATCTCATTTTTACGTCCATGATCCTGACTCACTGTGTGTGTGTGTGTAAGAGTGTGTGCATGTGTTTGTGTGAGTATGTACCTTTTGATGCTTGATTCTCTATTATTTCCTGACTGTGTCTCTGTGGCTTACTGCCCCTAGAAGCCTTAAGAGATGGTGGGGGTCTCTTGAATAATGGAACTAAGTAGCCGCATTGGGGACCTCAGAAAACAAGGTGGTGGCCTAGGCTCCCTCACCTGAAACCATGAGGCTATGGGTCTTACTGTTTCCCGAAACCATTAATTGGATTAAATTGTGTTCCCCCAAAATTTGTTGTGTAAATCCTAACTTCTATACCTTTGTTTATAATCCCATTTGGGAATGGGTTATTTTTTATGTTAATGAGGCAATATTAGTGTAGGGTGTGTCTTAAATCAATCTCTTTTGAGATATAAAACAGCAGACTAAGCAAGCACAAATGGAGGAGGATACACACAACCTGATTGCCAAGGAATCTAGGAAAAGAAGCTGAAAAGAGAAAAACACCTTCCCCCAGAGCAGACAGAGAGAGGGAGCCTTCCCCTAGAGCCATCGCCCTAAATTCAGACTTCTAAGAACTCTGGAGGTGCAGTGGTTAAGCTCTTGGCTGCTAACTGACAGGTCAGGGATTTGAACCCACCAACCGATCCATGGGAGAAAGATGTGGCAGTGTGCTTTCTTAAAGATTACAGCCTTGAAAACCTTATGGGGTGATTTTACTCTGTCCTATAGGATTTCTATGAGTTGGAATTGACTAATGGCAATGGTGTTTTTTTGGGGGGAAGGTTCCTTCTATTTTTTTGTGTTTCTCTTGAGTTTGTCTTCTCCTGTACTGACGATATGCTGAACAACCACATCACCCCCTGAGGCACCCATCACACAAAGACCAGGGACTGAACAGACCACACTTACCTGTGACCATAAGCTCCACGGGGGGACTGGGGGCCGACCACTCATACGGGGAGTGACTGTGAAAACCACAGCATCTGTAGGTCTCCGCAAGAGCAGGTGTTATAGGTTCCATGGAGAAGTCAGCCCAGGAGTTGCTGGTACGAAGCTTCTTACTAAGCTGCTGGGAATACTGTGAGTTCCCCTCCTTGTGTAAGTTATATTTATCAAACACTAGTTCTGAGCTACAGTTCAGGGTCACATTTCCCCCTGAATTCATTAGGGAACTTGGGTGCGCCCAGATTGCAGGTTTTGTGAATACACCTAGGGGCAAAGAGGGTGTGAGTTTAAATGAGTCACTCTACCTCATCCCTTCCCCTGAGACCTGCAGGTGAGAAGTTCTTCCTCTTTCACACCCAAAGCCTAAGTCCCTTCCTGTACCTGTTTCTTTGCATGTTCTCTATGCATTGTTCTCCATGCCACTGGCTCATGTTCTTCCATAACCTGAAGTCCCCTTGTCTCACCTATATCTGCATTTCCTCTCTCCTGGTTGGAGGTCCCCTGACCTTGTCTGTACTGGTTCTTGAACCTTTGACTGTGAGAGCCACTCTCCATATTTCCTCTCCCTGCTCTATGTAGTGAGCTGAGGCAGTGGTGCCCCTACAATATGCATTTCCTAGTGTGTCTTGAGAGCTCTGCACATCACTTAGAATAATGGGGATGACTGGGAGCAGTGGGAAGGGAAGAGGGTATTTCCCAATCCATGCCCCAACCTTTGCCTCTGGAGGCATCTCCTGAAGGTGCTGTGTCTTCTCCAAGGCTCCAACTCTTTAAGGTGGGGTTACAACCTCAGTAATGGGAATGGTGGTGCTGGGATCAAGTGACATTCCTCCCCTCTGAGTCCCCCTTGCTAGTAAGTGGTAGCAGCAACGTGCTCTTGCTAATCCCTATGTTGACACTCTTCTTTATTAGCTTCTTCCTACACTTCTGCACTCAGTTCTCTTTATTAAATACCTTCTATTGAAATTCTTAGTGTCTTCTCTTTCTATGGTTAGGTCCCAACTAGGAATCCTACAATAACTGTCTGGTCTCCACTGGGATCTGGGCTCTGAATAAGGCTGTCTGGGACACAGGGTGGACATGGGTTGGGGTGGACTTCTCCTACCTGTGACCACGATCTCCAGGGTGTTGCTGTATGCTGACCACACAGGGATATATCTCTGTAATATCCGGAACATTTGTAGGTCCCCACATGTGCTGTGATCACAGGGCTCATGGTGAAGCTGTTGTTGAAAAGTCTATCCTGGAGCTCAGGGAGAGGGGTGCCCTGTTTTTTTAATACTTTGAATTTGACAAAGTCAGTGAGAAAGACACCAAAGAGTCACTTTTCCTCCTAGAGGAATCACAGGGCTTGGCCAGGCTGAAAGTTTGGGGTTGTCATGACCTCCTGGGGGAGAAGAAGGCAGTAGCCTTAGAGAGGAAAATGTGAAGCTGCCCCTCCCCTCTCTGTCCTCAGAGGGCTTCTCCTTCACATTCTTGCAAAACTTCTCCCCCAAGTTGGAGCCCCTGATGCCCAGGAATGCTTGGTGGTGGGCCAGGGTCACAGCCCACACCATCATGGACATGACAAGTCTCCTCAGAAGGGCAATTTTATTTAGTGTTGAGAAAATGTTGAACAAAGCTTCTCCTAAAATCAATTTCCTATAACAATGACAGCATGCATACATAGTATATATCCCTTGAATGTATATTACATATACCCACAGTCGTTGAGTCGATCCTGACTCATAGCGACCCTAGGATAGAGTAGAACTGCCCCATAGGCTTTCCAAGGTTGTAATCTTTACAGAAGAAGACTACCAAATCTTTCTCCCAAGGTGTAGGTGTAGGTGGTGGGTGAACCGCCAATATTTCAGTAAGCAGCCATGTGCTTAACCACTGTGCCACAAGGGCTTTTCAGGGGTATATATATATATATATATATATATATAAAATGGGATAGGAGGGCAACATGTACCTGATTCGACCAATATGAGACAATAATGTAAGACAAAGCATGAAGTTATTTTTTAAAAATTCTGCTACGCCTAAATGTGCCATAAAGTCAGAAGTCATTGCCTACTGAGCAAACCCTTCTCAGATGGTGACAGCAGAAATACCTTTTAGCTCAGCTGTCACAGGCAGGCTGGAGAACCCGAGTCAATTCCTGATTCTCACAAGGCCCAGCATTGGGTCCTTCCCTCGTTACAGAGATTATTCTAACCTGACCGCAGAGACCCCAGGTTCTGAAATCACGCCTCCTTCCAAAAGAGTTGAGTCTCTAGAACAAAAAAGAGTCCCTAGAACAAAGTAACAGTCTAGGGTTGCCAGAGACCCCTCCTCTTGCTCTCCCAGGGGATTTGCCACAAAGCCCTCCCAGAGTCATCAGCATCAGCCCATATTCCTGCACTCCCTCCTCTGCCTGGAGAACCTTTGTGTTCAGCCAACACAGTCACCTGGGAATGGGGAAGGACTCACCCACTTGTGCCCAGATCTTCTGGACCAGACAGAATCCTGGAGGGAAAACCACAACAGAGTTGATTTGCCCCCATATGAATCCCGCCTCCCAGTAACTGTGCCCTGTCTGGGATAAAAGCCTTGAGAGATGGGACCGGGCTTGGCTGGTTGATGAACTCAACTTCCTATGGGCTCCCACCTCCATCCCTGTGCTACGGAGAGGCCAGGTCTTCAGACCAGGGTTTTCTACCATAACCCTTTTCTCCCTTCCCTTCTAAGACTTACCAAGACACCTGATGATGAATTTGGGGTCCATGGCTCTTCTTCTGTTGTACAGGATACAGGAGCTGAGCAACAGTGACAAATGAACAGGAAGTTGAACATATGGCCTAACTACCACAGTTTGTCCACCACACAGAAAGATGACCAGTTTCTTCTCACCCTAAATATGACAAGGGGTGTGGAATAATTTTCAGACTAGTTTCATGCTTTTATAACAGCCCTTCCCTAATGCCTGAGTATATCTAAAGTATAAATATCCCCCTTGGTATATACCCAGGGATAGAATGGCTGAACATATTCCATTGGACAAACTTACTGCAAAAAATCTCTCTAATGTTTGAAAAAGTAAAGTTGTCACTTTGATGACTAAGGCGCACCTGACACAAGCCATGGTTGTTTCAATTGCCTCATATGCATGTGAAAGTTAGACAATGAAAAAAATTGGTGCTTTGAATTGTATCAGTGAAGAATATTGAATATAACATGGATTTCCAGAAGAATGAACAAATCAGTCTTGGAAGAATTACAACCAGAATGCTCCTTAGTAGCTTACTTTGGACACATCATCAGGAAAGACCAATCGCTAGAAAAGGACATCATGTTGGGTAAAGTGGAAGGACAATGAAAGTGAGGAAAACTTTCAGTGAGATGAACTGACATGGTGGCTGCAACAATGAACTCAGACATACCAGTGATCATGAAGGTGGCAAAGGACCTTGCAATATTTTGTTCTGTTATACATAAGGTCGCTGGGAGTCAGAGCTGACTTGAGGGCAACTAACAACAAAAGAATTGCTGACGTATAGGTCACATCAAAACTCAAATCAACTAGATAATAACACACTCTTTCTATATTGATAGCAGGGGTGGATAATCCAATAGACAAGGTAAGCACAGTGCTTACCTTGCTTACCAGCTCATCTGTAGTGAACAATTTCACATTTTTTCACCGTATCAAAGATTCTACTTCTTGGTATGGCTGGCATCTGTCTCTGTCTCAACCCCACAGCACCTTCCTACAGAATCAAAGCCTCTTCAAATTTACATTCTCTGACAGGTGCGGATTACCCAGTAAGTAAGCAAGGTAAACATGGGCTTACTTGTGCATACTTAGTAATCTGTAGTGAACAATTTCACAGGTATTTCATTGCGAACAATTTCATGTATGTTCCATGAAACACCTGTGAAATTGTACACGACAGATTATGAAGTAAGCACAAGTAAGCCTGTGCTTACCTTGCTAACTGGGTAATCTGTCCCTGATTGATAGTATCATTTTCTCCACCAGCTACTGTCAGACTCTATTTTTCCCATGCTCCAGATAAGATTTGAATGGCTAAGGCAGAGGATAAGTTAGTTGTTAATTTTGAATTAAATAATTATTCTTTAAGGAAAGATATTAGAAGGTGGATGCTATGATTTGATTGTCTATATCTTTAAGCAAGTATTGAACATATAAGATATTTTATACAAAAGACAATAACTCAACAAACAAAATGGAGTATTGTGATTTATAAAACTGTGTTACATGTTTATTGAATTGAAAGTGGAATGCAGAGAGATCAAGATATCAGTAATGGAAAGTTTTCCCCAAACAAAGACATTAAGCAAATTCTTGTCAGAAATTATCATGTTTTCTTAAATGGAAAGAACTTGTGATAATGATCTTTGCTTGATGCACTTGAAGGTTTTGTGGGTTTCTTGCCAAGAAGATAGTGTAACAGTGTTTATACAATTTGGTGAAGAAAAGAAAAAAAAAGTGTTAACTAAACTATTTTTAATCCAATGCTGTTTTTATTTAACATAAAGTTCAGTATAAAGCGAGTAACTATACTCTGGTCTGATAAGAACAAGCTGTAGCATAATAAACAGAAAAGAGGCCAAAGTCTACAAAGAAGGAATAGAAATGGCTATATGAGTACTGACAATAGCAACAGTTGTGAAAGGTGAGGGTCAAATGTCTTATAAATTTCAAACTATTTAAGAAAATTGTTAAATTTAAATTTTAAACTTTCTGTTAAGGAATCTAATTGAGTGCTGTTCTCTGTGAAAAGGAGGGTTGTTGTAGAATGTAAAAGTGGGAATTTGATTCCTGGATTCTATGCCCGGTTTTTAAATCTTCATTCCAAACATGTATGTTAACCATAATAAGCATAAATGTGATGCATAATTTAAAATATCAATCGAAATGAATCACAACTGTGGCCTTCATGAACTGGTTCTAGAAGGCCCCACATCATCTAGAAATCTTTTGAATTCCCAGAAATATTTTGAGAAGTGTTACTTTAAAAAAAAAAATTAATTAATTAGATGCATTTTAAGGGGTCTTACAAAAAGAATTAATTATGTGTTTTATATCCCATTAATTAAGGAGTTCCTGGATGACACAAACTGTTAAGTGTTCGACTACTATCTGAAGGGTTGAAGGTTTGAACCCACCCAGAGGCACCTCAGAAGATGGGCCTGGAGATCTGCTTCTGAAAGATCACAGCCTTGAAAGCCCTATGGAGCAGTTCTACTCTGCACACATGGGGTTGCCACGAGTCTGAATAGACTAGATGGCAACTAATAACAACAATTATAATTAAGTCAATTCTATATATTTGAGGTCCCTGGCATAAAAGCTTGGCTACTAACTGAAAGGTCGGCAGTTCAAATCCACTAGCTGCTCCTTGGAAACCGTATGGGGCAGTTCTACTCTGTCCTATACAGTTGCTATGAGTAGAAATTGACTCAATTGCAATGGGTTCAGGTTTTTTTTTTAAACATATATTTTAAATCTCATTCCCTATAGGCATGTAGATTCCACTGGCAAAACATATTGAAGACAAATATTCAGACAGACAAAAGAAAACAACAACCACAAAAACAAAAACACTCATCAATAATTTTTATACATTAACCCGTTTAAAATAGGTTAACATTATTTATTTTTTACTTTTGTCACATTTTTAATAAAATACAATTTTGTATAGGTTGGATGTTCTCGATCTGTCTTTCAAATTTATTCTATATCCTGAATAATTATATTTACATATTTGTATATCTCCATCATTTTTTGAGTATTTTCCTCCAGCATACTCACTGTCTTAGAGTCCTAGTAATGCAGTGGTTAATCGCTAGGCTGCTAACTGAAAGGTTGGCAGTTCAAACCCACCATTGGCTCTGCAGGAGAAAGACGTGGCAGTCAGTTTCCCTAAAGATTACAGCTGTGGAAACCCTATTGGGCAGTTCTACTGTCCTATAGTCGCTGCGAGTTGGAATTGACTCAAGGGCAATGGGTTTTGGGTTGTATAGGCACACTGACCGGCTACAAGGAAGGCCGAAGGAAAGTACATGTTCACTATAAAACACACTGTTTGTACAAACAGCCTAGACAGGGTGGTACAGCAGAACTCAGTGCTTCAGCCACACAAAACAACCTTACCACTTAGTAATGTAGGCAGCATACCAAAATCTA